TCTTATGGAGAAGGTCAAGAGTCTTCGTTACTTAGACTCTGTACAAAAAGCATCCCCCAACCCTCTTCCTGCAGGAGCACCATTTCCACCACATAGCACATATGAATTCACAAATAAGAGACATATGGACACAATCACATTTAGGCCTATATGCAAACATACAGGGCAGTCTGTATTAGGTCAAGGATAAGTGCATTTGAAGCTGCCAAAATGGAATCATTCTGGGAATGAACATCTACTGCAGGCATTTTTCCAAAACTTCCTTTGAAGGAGAAGGCAAATTTTGGGCTCTGTTTCTCCCATTCATTTTCATTACTTAATTTGAGAATATGTGCCAAGGGTGGGGAGAATGGAAAATAAGGTGGTAAGACGGGCATGAAGAGGTGTGTATATTCCACTCTGAGAAGCAGCCACCGGCCTCATGGCTCCTGGAAAGGCCTGCAGTCTGGGCACTGGCTCTGTCCACAGCCCTGAGCACCCTGTCCCAGTGGCCATTCCAATTAAGGGGCTTTAGCTCCCCGTCGTCTCTACTGCACCTCCCAAACTCGTTGCTGTCAAGTAGATTCTGACTCATAGCGAACTTATAGGACAAAGTACAACTGCCCCACAGGGTTTCCAAGGAGCGCCTGGTAGAGTCGAACTGCCAACTTTTTGATCAGCAGCCAATCTCCCAAAGTCACCTCTAATTTAGAAATATTCAGTAACAATATTCTTTAACGTGGAAAAATTATAGCTTTACTACTCTTACATAAAGTGTGAAGAAGTGAACCTTCAGAAAACAACCTCGGTAGACATAGCACGTTTGTTTTATTCAAAAGAAGCCCTTAACTAGTCCCTTCCCTGACTACAGTACCTACCTGAAATCTTATTTTTGGAGTGTGAGGTGTGTGTGTGTGTGTGTGCAGGTGTGCGCAAGCATGCGTGCACAAGTCTGTATATGCACATGTGTGTGCATGTGGAAGAAGGATGGTAAGGCAGGAGTAGACAAGGAAAAGAAGAAGGTAGGGAGGTTCAGATCAATGTGGTAGCCACTGCCAGACCCTAACAACATGTGAGCAACAGAGTAGTATAGATACAACCACCTCACACCTTCGGCAAGATCCAGAGCCCGCTAGGTACAGGTACCTAAGTTAAAGCTGGAGACCGACAGACAGGAAGAAAAACAGAAGGTGACAGAAATACATTACACTGGAAGATAGAGACAAAAACATATCATAACAGACCTAATTTATGACCACGGTGACACCAAGTAAAGGAAAATGCAGGGGCCCAGGGCTCTAACACCAAGCTGACATTAGATAGCTGGGTGCCCTGGGTTTCAGCTTTCCCAAGTGTAAACTGAGCAGGCTGAACTAGATGAGCTCTATGTCCCCCTCTCACCCCCACTTGGTATGCATCACAGTATCCACACAGCCAGGAGGAGACAAGCATAAAACAGGCTTAAGTTTTTTCTTTCCAAAAGGAAAACAAAAGCATAAACCCACAGGAGAGACTAAGCAGGTTAAACAGACTTTGAAGATTAAGAGGATTTCATTAGGGAATATAGGAAAAACCAGCAGAAATCATACAAAATGTGAAGTCAAACAGATTTAACTGCCCAATATTCAGTGCCTTTGGTACCTTATAGAAAACATCTGCTAACGAAGCCCCAAAACTTAGCTCCTGCTAAAGCTTCATTAAAGGGACAGCTACAGATGATTAGACTATTGAGACTAACCTTTTAGACTCCTCAGACTTCCAAAATGGCTGTAGACTCAGAAATAGCAGGGGAAAAAAAAAGAAAGAAACCTTCAAAGCCACAAAGAAGTAACCTCTGATGATGGAGCACTGAGTTTTGGTTTATGCTGAGAGAAAAACTGCATTGATTAAGGGTAGGGTTGCACAGCTGATTAATTAACTGTTGTCAATAAGCTGTACAACTGTGAAAAGCTGAATTGGCAAAAGTTGTGTAATAGATATATTTACCACAACAACAATGAAAAGAGCAGCTGCTTAGGCTGTTTATGTACAACTAAATATCTCATGGAATTTGGTTTCTTGATTTGGAAATTTAGGGTCACAGTTTCATGGGACATCCCAGTTAACTGGCCTAATAGTGCTTCTGATCTACCACCTAGTTCCTTGAGTAGTGGCTGGGGTCTTAAAGTTTGCAAGCAGCCATCCAAGGCACAACAATTGGTCTCTATTTGTCTGCAGCGGCAGAGGAAAGAGGAGAGTCAGGGAATAGGAGGAAAAAATGGAATGTGTGGCTAATAGCCTCCATAGACAATTGCCTTCTTTGCCATGAGACCAGAAGGAATGGATGACCTACCATTACTGAACATTTTGATCAAAGATTCTATAGCAGAATCTTGATAAAAAGGGAAAAAATGCAGAATGGAATTTCAAATTCTCACGGAATCCAGAATTTCTGGAGCCAGAGAGGCTGAATGAACACCCAAAACAATTGCCCTGAGATAATCTTTAAACCTAAACCAAAAATATCCCCTAAAGTCTTCTTAAAACCAAACAACAGTTTAGCTTAACTAGTAAACACAACTGCCTTGAGCACTGTGCTCTTTTTAGAACTATATGGGATCAAATTGCCAACAGCAATTCTTGAAAGATTAGATAGAAAAATTAGGAGCCAGTGAGTTTATGTTAATGATGGAGGAATACTTTGGAAAAGAAGGGTGAGAATGGTACACAACTTGAAGAATATAATCAATGTCACTGAATTGTATATGTAGAAATTGTTGAATCGGTTCTGCTGTGTATATTCTCAACAATAACAAACAATTTAAAAAATTATAAAAAAAAAAAATAACCTCTGAGAACTAAGAAATTAACATAGCCAAGGAAAGCTGAAGACTTAAAGAATATACCTGATACCTTTGGAATGATCAGTTTCCTGAGCCTGGACTGTGCTCTGATAAACTGATATGGGGAGAAAAATGATATAGGACAGGAAGAGAAGGGATAAGAAAGAAGTAGGAACAGAGGACACAGGCCAATAATGGTTACAGCTTCAAGTGATGACAGAGAAGCAAGGAGCAGACACTCAAGAGGATACAGAGGCAGAATGGCTAAGGGGAGGGAAAGGAAGGAGAGGGAAACAATCACTACTACCTACTTATCTTTTCAAACTTCCAAAACCTGCCCTTGGGACTTTGGTGGTGGTCAGCCTTGTGCTAGTATCTGAACTGAGATAGAGCTCACCATCTCCTTGCTTTGAGCTGTAATCTTATATCACCTTGGTATGAAAAGGCCAGGTTTCATAGATCAGGGGAACCACTCAGAGCCTCTGGTGGTACCAATTTGTATATAATCCTTTATGCTGCAACTGGCCACCGACCCTGCGTTACAACATGGCACTCTTGATATGAGGTGGGCAACATAATCTCCAAATTCTCCTTTAAATATAAAACTCTAAGATTGCTCTGTGTATGTGTGTGTGTGTGTGTGTGTGTGTGTGTGTGTGTTTGTGTGTGTGTTGGAGGTGGAAGGGACAGAAAAGATGGCAAATAGCTACTTGAACTCTCTTTTAAAAAAAGAAGCTACAGCAGCAAATAGCCAAAAAGCTATTTGACACTGTGGGCTTTTCCTAGAAAACAAACTCTATAGCAGGGTCAATATCCATTCATTCTACAACCCATCCACATAACGTACATCTTATCTTCATATCCCAATAACTGTGCACTACCAGAACCTTCAACCATCACGGAAGGAGCAAACTATGTTTGTACTATCTGCATGAAGTATACAGGTTTTCATACTTTAAAAGGTTGTCATTGAAAAATTTTAATGTAAAAGTTTGAGCAATTGGAGAGCTAAACCAAGCTAGCCAAATAACTTGGCTATCTAGAATGACTCATTCCCTGAGGGATTCAGAGAGCCATGATTTTCCTGAAGGTTTCTTTCGTGATTATTAGACTACCAGCAAAATTCACTTTCTTGCAAACATAGTGCTATACAAGTAAGGATACACAACAAAATTCTACTGCTACCATCCTGAAAGCCTGAAGGCCTTCCTATGGTGTATTTACAAGTAACAATCAGTAATATTTATAATGAACTTATAATATGACACATTATGCTCTACTAAATAACATGGGAGGGTATAGAAGAAACACAAGTTTTAAAGCGTGGTATTTAAAACCCCAACAGGGTCTACGGAGCATAATCCATCAGAAAGACCGAAGAATAATTTCAAAGCAGCATAAATGTAAAAGAAAAAGGATATAAAGAGTGAGAAGTGATTACAGAGAACAAGTGCAGAATATTCTAGGGAGAATGTACTGAAAGGGAATAAAAAAAAAATAAAGCAACTTGTAAGGGACAATTAAGAAAAAAGAGATGAATTTTAAATAAGACAGAATACCAAACTTGTTTTTTTTTTCAAAAAAGGCTTTGCCTAACTATAGTCATGATGGGGTGTAAAATTCACAGTAATGATTATCATTTTTTTTTTTAACCTGATGATGAAAATTCATATCCCAAATGCATAATCAGTAAAGAGAGTTTATTGTGATAAAAGATGACTCAGGACAACAAATTATTGAAGTAATACTCATTACAGCATTGACTGCATCCTTAGCGAAAAGGAGGAGTAACTCAGCAATAACAGAATATTTTATTATTCCAGCAATAACAATAAAAACAGCAAAAACAAGAGTAATAGATGAAATTTATTGAGAGCTTACAGTTTGTCAGTCACTGTTCAAAGCAGTTAATATGTATTAATTCAGTTAACCCTTGCAACAGTACCTACTGTTATCCCATTTTATAGAATAGAAACTGAAGCACAAAGAGGCTCAGGAACTTCTCTAGGGTCACATAGCTAGGAAGCAGCAGAATGGGCAGTCTGCCTCCAGAGCCTGTGCACCCCTGGCCACTACAAAAGACTCAGATTTTTTTTTAAATTCTGTTTTCTAGTTCCTTCTTCCAGATGAAACACATCTTAAAAACACCAGAAGGGCACAATGCACAGAAGAAACGAGATAAAGCATTATATTACTTACCATTGGGAAAAGCTAACACACTGATGATAAGAAAGAAGAAAATAACAGACAGGATGCCCTTCCAGATGTTGTCTTCTGGACCAGAATCATCCCTGAAAATAGAAAAACAACACTGAGAATTCTTCAGATATAAATAGTAAACCTAGGAGTCAGAGCTCCATGTTATAAAACTGGAGGGTTGCTAACTTTTTGTGGAGCAAAATCATTAGCCACACAACTTATTATTCACTATCATTTCCTAAAATAATAAAATCTCATAATAAAGTCTAGTTCTTGTAAGAAAGGCAATTGGAAAGCTTACACACCAATACACTCAGGGCAACAGACTCGGTTTCTTGTTTTTTTTTTTTTGGTTCTTTAAAAAAGTATCAAGGAAGTCAAAAGGTAAGGTTCATCTCGGGGAAATGCCTTTTGCTTTTAAGACTAAGGATGGCTTCCATGAAGTAATAGAACCAAAGTACCAATACAGGTTTTGGCAAAGATATTTTTTAGGAATCAGAAAGGAAACATGAGATTATAGGGAAGAAAGCAATCAATGAGATTATATAATAACTTTTTTCTTTTGATGGTGTCTCAGTTATCTAGTGCTGCTGTAACAGAAATACCACAAGTAGATGGCTTTAACAAAGAGAAGTTTATTTTCTCACAGTTTAGGAGGCTAGAAGTCCAAATTAAGGATGCCAGCTCTAGGGGAAGTCTTTCTCTCTCTGCTGGCTCTGGATGAAGGTCCTTGTTTCTTTGAGCTTCTGCTTCTGGGCGATCTTCATGTGGTTTGTCATCTCTCTTCTCCAATCTCTGCTTCTTGATTGCTTGTTTAATCTCTCTTATATCTCAGAAGAGACTGAATCAAGATACACCCTACACTAATCCTGCCCATTAACATAACAAAGACAACCTATTCCCAAATGGGATTATAACCACAGGCATAGAGGTTAGGATTTTACAACACGTATTTTGGGGAGACATAATCCAATCCATAACATTCCACCCTTTGGCCCCCAAAAAGTCATGTCCTTGCCACATACAAAACACATTCACACCATCACATCATCCCAAAAGTCTTAAATCCATTCCAAGTTCAAAATCTCTCTTCTGAATCATCTATATCAAATATAGATGAGACTTTAGGCATATTCCATTCTGGGGAAAAATTCCTCTTCATCTGTGAACCTGTGAAATCTAGAATACAAGTTATCTGTTTCCAAAGGACAATGGTGGAACAGGCACAAGGTAGGTATTTCCATTACAAATAGGAGAAATTAGAGGAAAAGAAGGGATAAC